ATGGCTAGTAAGTGTCAAGTGTTTGATCTGAGGCCGGATTATGAACTCAGGTACTCCTGACTTCAGGGTCGGTGCTCTATCCACTGCACCGCCTCGCTGCCCCACTTGTATACTATACATCAGACCTTATGCTAAGCGAGGGTCTTGATTCTCCTGAAGCATTGTCTCTAGTCACTGCCCTCTTTGTCCTTCTTTGGACACATAATGACTTATAAGTCCTTGCTCCTACGGAGTATTATAGTATAGTTTTCTTTCTGGCATTTAAAGCCTTCCACACTCTGGCTATCACCTACTTCTTTTAAATAAGTTTTATGTCAAATGAAACAAATTTAATATATTATTTTCCCTTCCCACCACTTTCTACTGCCTTTGAAGACATCACCAACCTGTTGAAAGATAAAATGTACTGTTCCAGGGTAACTCATTAGCATGGACTTCAGCAGTCTTTCCTAATGGTGACACTTTTTTGAGGGCTTTTTATATTTTTTGAGATCTAAGAACTACTATATACTCCCCATCCAAGTCAAATCGGCCTATTCACTCTTATGAATACGTGCTATGCTATTTTTCATCTCTGTGCCTTGCGCAGGCCAGCCTTCGTGTTCAGAATGAATGTCCTCCTCACCTGCACTATTTCCTTTCACAGTTCAGTTCAGGAGCTTCCTCCTCCAGGCATCCTTTCCTGATCTTCCTACTTCTTGGTGCTCTCACCTCTTGAAATTATTTTGTACATACTTTGTATTTACTTATCTGCATGCATGTTATATCTTCACATTTGAAAATAAACTCCATGAGGGCAGGGATTTTTTTTCATTTTTGCTTTTGTGTCCCTAGTTCCTAGAACAGTGCCCTACATGTTACATAATATTAAGAAATGTCTGTTGAATTGAACTAACTTGAAAGGAATTCCTTTGTTTGCACTGCTTGTCCAACTTGTTATTGTTGCTTGCCATTTCTTTTAGGAATGAATAGAGAACTATTTTCCTGGGGGTGTCATCCTTCTAAAAATTACTGGTCTTTATATTGGCATAGATGAAAAAGGAAAAGCCTTTCTCACTGTTGACATTCCAGTCTTTTGTGCATAGTAATTATGACAATTCGCCTCCTGGATAACTGTCGTGTCATGGCAAAGGAGCTTGTGCAGCTCAATGAAACTATGAGCTATGCCATGCAGGATTATCCAAGAGGGGCAGTCATAGTGGAGAGTTCTGACAAAAGGTGATTCACCAGAGAATGAAATGGCAAGCCATTGCAGTATCTTTGCCCAGAAAACCCCATGGATGTATTAAAATGCATGATATCAAAAGATGAGCCCCTCAGGTTGAGGGCTTAGCATGCTGTAGTCCACAAGGCCACAAAGAATCAGACACAACTAAATGACTGAACAACAATTCTGCTGAGTCTAACAGCATGGCTGAAAGAATGGCTTGAAAGGTCTAAGACTTCTGTCCCATACTTGTCTCTAACCCTCACCTTCCATTGCTTTTGAAGACATCACCAACATGTTGAAGGGTATAATGTGCTTTTCCAGGGTAAGTCATTAGCACGGACTACAGAAGTCTTTCCTAATCATGACACTTTTTCAGGTCTTTTAAATTATTTTGTACCTTGACCTACTATTTATATTCCCCAATGTTGCTAATACAGCCCAAGCATAACTGTTTAAACCTTAACATGTACCTTCATTTTAATGCTAAATTCTAATTGAGCTATTCAGTATGCTCTGACAAAAAACTCATGAAAAGAACTACTGTTGTAGCTCTCCAGGTTTAAGGTCCCAAGATTCACCAAGGAAATACCCTATTGTATGAATGAGTGTTTCTTCCTTGGTCCTTGGCTCATCTTCCAGAATGAAAAAGAATAAAAAACCCTCCAGTTGAAGAGTTACTAACTCCAAAATTGTCCCTCTACACTTACATGTGATGATATTATTTTTTTTTCAAATTTGGGCATTTGGTCAATGCTCATTCATTTTGTATACCTACAATCTTACCTGCATAATAGCAAAATAAGTTGTCAGTTCAAATGAAATTATTTTTAATCAGAAAAAATAGTTATTTAGAATGATACAGACAGATCAGTCAATCGAGGGCTTAAATTAGCCAACAATTAGCCAACAATTATTTGACAGTTAACTCACATGCATTTTTCATTAACTCATATTAATTTTTCAAACACAAATAGAATTAAAAGATAGCTGTAACAGACACAATTAATATATATATATATTTTTTTTCTATTTTATCACTCTCAATACCATATAGCTTTACACTGAAAATGTCTAGAGGCCATATAGGGCAGCTAGGTGGTACAGTGGTTAGAGTGCTGGGCCTGGAGTCAGGAAGACTCCTCTTCCTGATTTCAAATCCAGTCTTAGACATTTACAAGTTGTGTGACCTTGAGCAAGTCACTTAACTCTGTTTGCCTCAGTTCCTCATCTATAAAATAAGATGGAGAAGGCAATGGCAAACCACTTCAATATCTTTGCCAAGAAAACCCCAAAATGAGGTGAAAGAGTTGGACACAACTGAAACTACTGAACAACCACAACAAAGGAGTTCATATAACCTTCTAATTATTCTCTCTGCCTTGTCTCTCTATTTTCCAGGTGATCCTCCACACAGATATCAAAGGAATATTCCTGAAGTACAAGTCAAATTACTTCACTACCCTGATCAAGGAGCTCTAGTGGCCTTCGGGATGAAATACAAACTCCTCTTTTAGGTATTCAAAGCCTTATGCAATATGGCCCTATCCTTATTACTATTCCCCATGCATGGTTTATTCTGACTAAGCTGGCTTATTTATTGTTATTCATTCACCACATTCCATTTCAGATCTTGTCTTTTTGCCCCTTGTCTTATTCCCCATGCCTTGAATGCACTTCCTTCTTATCTCCACAATTTCAAGTCCCTATTTCCTTTCAAAGCTCAGCTTACAGGCTTTCTTAGCCCTGCCCAATTGCTAGTGCCCACCTAATTAATTTGTATATATTGTGCACGTACTATATCTTCTATTATTCATGTGAATGCTATCATATTACAATATTCATGTGGATTTCCTCTGATAGAATGTAAGCTACTTGAGGGCAGGGATTGATTTATTTTTGTCTTTATGTTCCAGCGCTTAATACAGTTCCTAACACATGATAGGCACTTAGTAACGTCTTGTTGATTGATTTATTGACTGAATGACTTTGTACATCATTCAAATAAGTTCAAAGTATATTGTGTCTTTTATAAAATACTCTGAGAGAGTGATAAAAGTTATTCATTGAGGTATAATGAGTGGTGACTGTTCAGCTATACCAACTGGTTTTCAACAACATTTACTGTAGTTGGATATACAATGACAAAATAAATTGGAAAAGAACAATTAGCCAACAATTATCTGACAGTTAACTTATATGCATAATTGGGGGGGAGCTCTAATTTTCCTCACTATAAAGATTTTTTTTTGAATTATGTCAATAATCATGCCAATTATAGCTACTTCTGACTTTTTAAAAATGTAAGTTTCACTATAGTTGTTACCAAATAATTCCTAAATAGTTCTCTAAATAGTTCTTAAATGTACAAACCATTATAAACTAAAGCTGCAATTAGTTTTAGTCAAATATTTATCCAAGAAAAATGTTTATAGAAAACCAAAAGATTTTATTTTGGTCTCCCCCCCAACATACACACATTCACACACACATACACACACATTCTATAGGCTCTACCACCTTTACAAAATACTTATTTAATGAATGTTATGATCATTTTGTTTAATCATCCTACCTACCAAGTTGTTAAATGTATTGGAAGATTTTAGTTTTTATTTACTTTATAGTAAGCCTTTTATTTTCAGTGTAAATTTCAGACTAAAACAGAAATAATATGTATTTTGCATACAAGTAAAAAAATAGACTTTTTACAAATGTAAAGCTTTCTTTAAAATCTGTCTTATTTTGATAACAAAAGCTCATCTTTAAAAAAAATCATCATTAAAGAACAACTTTCATCAATTCAATTATCATTGGGTTTTCTGAAAGAGAATATAGCAATAAAAGGTATATATCTGAATATGCAGAATATGCAATATGCAGAATATGCAGAATAAATAATTTCATTTAAGGAATAAAAAGACATAAAAGAAGTCTAATTAAAATTATCAAAAAGATCCTAAGTAGGACATCAGAATTAATTTTAAAAATTAAATTTAGGCCCATATTTAACAACTATTAGTGGTGCCACTCACTGACTTTTAGAAATAAAAATGAAAAATCAATCCCCAACAAAATGTACAATTTTTATCCAGAAAATAAACTGTGTTTTCACTATAACTGAACACAACTATGGGTCTCATTTGTATTTTGGACCCATATCCTGACGAAGGCCAGAGCATCAGCATGAAATTGGACCAATTGCATTTCCAGCAGCTGGAGGGGTGTTCTTTAAGAGGATGACAGTCCATAAAAATAAGCCTTTTAAACTTCAGAGATCCATGAGCCCTATGTATGTACCCCATGCAATTCAATATACTTTATCATTAAGCAAAAAATCATAGGAGATTTTGCAACCAACAGTTCATATTGGTAAATTAGGAATGGTTTCTTTGAAACAAAAGTTAACCTTTATTTTTATAAAGCATAGGATACCATAAGTGCAGAGAAAAAAAAATGATGATAGAAATGTATATTTAGATTTTCTGAGATATAAATTAGATCTAAACCTTAGTGTAAGAAAGAAAAGCTTGTTCTTTAATGCCAAAGAATTTTATTGTAAAATTCATTCCTTTCTTGGTATAAAATATAGCTGGATATTTTTTTTTTCAGTGATGACAATTGCTAAGAAAAATATGGAAGATAGTGATAACAATAGAAGTTCTAATATCCAACTAGTGGAACAATGGATAGAGCACTGGACCTGAAGTCAGGAATATCTGAATACAAATTTGGCTTTATGCATTTACTAGCTATGTGACCCTGGGCAAGTCATTAACCTCAGTTTCCTTAATTGTAAAATGGGGATAATAATAGCACCTACTTCCCAGGATTGTTGTGAGGATCAAGTGAGATATTTGCAAAATATGCTTACCTTAGTTGGCACCTAGTAGCACTATATACATGCTTGTTTTCTTCCTTTCCCTCTATGTATGAGATCTCCACAGTGACTTTATTGACATGAATAATCATGAATGAGAAAAAATTATAATGGAGTCTCTCTGGAATGAAAAAGTCCAATACTCCTTCTGATGATTGTTTTCCTATGGTATCTTTCACAGGTCAGTGCAAATTAGTCTCTTTTTGTTACAATTTTAAAGCTACCAGATGATTTAAAAGTGTTTTAAAATGGGATTTGATGTCAAAATGAAGGGAGTTTTCTCAAAAAAACAAGTTTTCATCATGAAGCATAGGGATGGATATTTGAACATATTCCCCCATAATAAACATAAGACAAAGCAGAAGTTTCTTAAAAATACACATTCATCAGTTATGTTAAAAAACACTAAAGGGGATATATAGTATTTTAGCAAACCCACTGATCTATTCTAAAAGCCTTACAATACAGGAATACAAAATTACAAAACCTATATGGTAGAACATGAAGTTTTTGTGGTACACAGGCACTTTTTTTGTACAAACCAAACATAGTGCATTAATTTCCAACATTACCGGAATAACACAGTCCTGGGGACCCTCTAATCATCTTGACTATACCCCCCTCCTCAACATTTATTTAATTTATTTGTGATTACCTCTTATGAAAAAGAAAGCACAGATAATCCTCTATTCAAGAGTCTGGGAATGCCTTTATAATAGACTCATAAGCTGGCGGAGGAGTTTGTGTTGAAAGGCCAACACGAAGGCTATTATTAGACCAATGAAAGTCTGGGCGGCTCAAACTGTGTGTGGTATTGATAATGGGAGAGGTATTGGTGGAAGGAAGAGTCATTAGTTGACTGTCAGTTTCCACAGGTAATGGAGGACACTGTAAGAAAGGATGGAAAGTAGAAGCCCGGAAACTTGATTTTCTAGGAAAGGAATTGGCTTGTTCCAGGGAAGCTTGTCGCTGGAAGGTGAGGCTGGCCAAGCTGAGGTTGCTTCGACGTTCACAGCCACTGTGCCGATAAAATCCAGTCCTGTTGAGACTGTGGGAATAAGGTCTGGAACGACGACTTGAACTCCATCGGGAGATGGAGGCGCTGGCTCTTCGTCTAGACAGACAGACAAGCAATGCCCAGATGATACCTCCAATGACAAGCCCAATGGCCATGGATACTGTGAAGGACATTATAAGATCATCTAAAATAAAGAAAGTGTCAAAGTAATTATTTGAACATTCAACTAAAGAAAGTGGCAAAATACAAGGTTGTATATTATTCAGATGAATTTGGGAATTCATTATTCAATGGAATTACTCAAGTAAATAATGAATAATGGCCAAAGTAGATCCAATTATTAAAACAGTATAATACATAATGTAGTCCTTTAGTAGCCCTGAATATATTATTGATTGAGTTATTTTGGTTATCTGAAAGAACTTAAAAGCAAACATTTCTCATAGGGGCATAATAAATTTTGAACACTTTGTCAAAGGACTTAGTTGCAAGAGTCCAAGTATTTCCAGAACTTCTTTCTTTGGGAGATAATCCCCAAATAGACCAAATTGGAGGGCGGTAGTCAGGATAGAGAAATGATTCATTCAGGTGTACTTTTCTGCACCAGATACCAGAAGTACACAACTTCCAGCTGAAAAAGGCAGTTCCACAGTTAACAAATTTACAAAGACTCTCATTAAAACCTTTTTAAAAATTCTCCCATCCAATGAGACTCTTTTTTTTTCTTTTGATGCTTTGTAAGATACATAATTATGTTGAAGTTGATACTCCTTCCACTAACTCATATTACAAGCCCTCTATATTTCATGAGTTATGTCCAGGAAAATATCATTTGGTGACCAAGCTTCTGAATAGAAAGGAGTCAGTGACAGTGCTCGTGACTTTTCTCTGAGGACCAACCTCACTTAGCCACTTAGCTAGTCTGGTCCTTGGAGAAAAGTCACAGGGTCTGTCACTGACTTCTTTCTACTAGGAATTTACTGCCTCAGCTAGAAATAATCTTTTAATCTTAACTCTCACAAAACTTACTGGTTATGCCATTCATTTAGCATTTATATCTGGTGTTCAATTTATCTTCTCAATCAGATTATAAATTCTAATATTCTACGATTCAGAACATTAACAAATTAAACAAGCATAGTTATAGCTTCCTATCTTCTCTTCTTCCACTTGATAATCTTCAGCATCCAGGCACAAGAGCATTGGACTGGGATTCAAAAGACCTGGGTTCAAATCTTGGCTCTCCCATATACTGGCTGGTGAGCTTGGGCAAATCATTTAACTGGTTCCATTAGAAGATGATTTTAAGTGACCAGTGTTATGGGGCAGTTAATTTTGTATTAACCATACTTTAAATGTATGATTCATCAAATTACATTTCAAGGTTTTCCCATTTTAAAATGAGGTTGGTATATCAAATTGCTTACTATCTTAGGAAGGAAGGGAGGGAGAGGGGACCGAAGGGAGGGAAGGAGACAATTTGGAACTCAAAATTTTGTATTAAAAATTAATGTTAAAATCATCTTTATATGTAATTGGAAAATACTATTTAAAAGAAAAAATAAAATGTTTTGTTGGGCTATTGCTTATTAACAATGTTATTACAAAAATATTTTGCTAATACATTTTGTTTTGCTAACGCATTCATTATTTTTGGTAATGCATTCATTATTATTCCCACTACTAATGCTACCAAGGTACCATTTAAACTGTTGTATGATGTATTGAATAAAATTTGAGTAATCATTGACTTCATTATTGAGCAGTCAATGAACCCACAAGCAAGCAGTTGACAAGGATTCAAGGCTGTGTGATAAAGTGCGAAAGATACTAGACTTAAAGTCAATTATGACTTCAGACAACTAAAGTCACTTAATTTCTCTGGACTTTGATTTCATTATATATTTAAGAAATGAGGAAGTTGGGGCAGCTAGGTGGCACAGATAGATGATAGTGGATAGAGCTCTGGCCCTAGAGTCAGGAGGACCTGAGTTCAAATCCGGTCTTAGACACTTGACACTTACTAGCTGTGTGACCCCAGGCAAGTCACTTAACCCTGATCGCCTCACCAAAAAAAAAAAAAACAAAACATGTAAAAAAAGAGAAATGAGAAAGTTGTACTCACTGATCAGTAAGATCCTTTATAGCTCCACTTTTACAATCCTATTCCCTGGTAACATTCTTAATTTTTTGCTTCATTGGGATTATGCATTCCTGATATTCCTCAATTAAGTGTGTGACTATAAAGATGTGTTCTGCTATAGAAAATGATCTTCCTTTTTTTATCATCTTAGCAAGTTACCCTGATAGGTATATAGATCATTCTCATAAACATTTTTAAGGGATGGGAAAATAGATACAAGAGTTGGTAATTGCTAATGTCTTATTTGTCACTTTTTATTTGTAACTACCACCTGGGATTTTTTTTCCCCATTCTTTTGGAAACTACACATTTTTGTGATAGTTTGAAAAATGATCCTGAAATGCCTCTAAATATGTCTTGGGGGTGAGGTCCAGTTGCGTTTTCAAGCTTAATCTTAGTGCCATTGTCACATAACAGATGCTGAAGTGGTAGAATCTGAATGATCTTGATCCATTGATGAAGAAAATAGATCATCCATGCATTCATTTATCTATTTTCTTGTTCATTAATTTTTTTATTATTTGTTAATTTAGTGTTAACTTGTGATTTCATTGCTATAGGTAGTCCCTATATAGAAATAGTCCCGTATATAGGGGAGCTAGGTGGTCCAGTGAATAGAGTGCCTGGCCTGGAACCTGAGCTCAAATTTGGCCTCAGATACTTACTAACTGTGTGACCCTGGGCAAGTCACTTAACGCTGTTTGCCTCAGTTAGCTCATCTATAAAATGAGCTAGAGAAGCACATGGCCAACCACTACAGTATCTTTGCCCAGAAAACCCCAAATGGGGAACAACAACAAATATAGAAAATTCCATCTACTTATGCAGATATGCAGACCAGAAAATCTTTTGTAACTTATGGCCTTAAAGAGTTGTCTGTAGCAATGAGAAGCTGAATGCCTTGCCCAGCTAGTAGGTGCCAGAGGAGAGATTTGAAGGCAGGTCTTCTTTACAACATTAAGCCATCATTTTTAAGCCAAGATCTCAGCATTCTAAAGCTGGGTCTTCTAGAGATCTATTATTCTATTGTTCAAGTCTTTCTGTTTGATATGATATTTTTATATAGATATAGATCTTAACCTGTGATTTTATTGACATATGAAATTCCCAGCAAATTCCTTTTTTTACCAATATAAATGAACTGGACCACAGTCATTCAAACTGTGTATCAAAGATAGGACTTGAAATCGAGTCTTGCTAACTCTGATTTACTATAGGATGCTGCCTCACTGGTCTTCTAGTAAAAGAAATAAAAGCATTGATGAATTCCAACAAATCAATCAATAGCTATTTACTGAGCTCCTGTAAATTATAAGACACTATGCTAAGTTTTATGAAAACCAAGGAATATGAGTTTATATATCTAGAAGCATATACTTGTTATCTGAAAGACTTGTCAGAAGGATTGTCAGAAGGGAGTGAAGTAAATTGAATCATATTAAAAATATTTTTAAGATCCACAGGTGTTGCAAATTGCATGTGTTTTTGGACTTTTTCAGTGTATTGATCCTCTTTTTTTGGTCTTTAAAAGTATAATTTCTCATATGAGGTGGCTTTGGGAGGAAGCAGGGTAGTGATACTGGTGATAACTATGATGATATAAAAAACAGAAGATATCAATAAAAATTTAAAATTTTTGAAAATTATAGCCAAAAAAACTTTAAATTAACAGTGAAATTAAGGAGTAATAACCTGTCTCTCCCTCCATCACCCACAGAAAAAAGGTTGACCTTTGATCTTACAGTCCAAGACTGAGAATCTGTTTCTTCTTAAAAGAATAAAGGAAAAGGAATAAGGTATATTTTAACATTAAAAAATAAAGTTGGTGATATACAATAACTACAAGAAACAATCTAAAATTTTCATTGTTATTCAATGAAAAATATAAAATTTAATTAAAAAAGAATAGTCTAGTATATACTTTGACAGAAAAATAACCTTTATGTGGTACAGGATCAATGTCAAAAAGGAAAAAATGCTATAGCTTTGAGTGTCAATGGATGCATTGTTAAGAGAAGAGTTAGAAACTAACATCTTAATATTTATGAATATTATCTCATCATAGCATGTCCCAATAAAATTATTAAAAAATATGGAACTGACTAAACAATATAAAATACTTTAATTGTGTTGTTGTTATTTTAAAGACAAAAAGACTTGAAACATGAATATGTCTGGAAGCCTTTGACTTCAGATGGGTTGCAAAGAATTATGACATGCTTACAGGAATAAAAATTAGGAGAGATCTCCCTCTAGTGGCCAAAAGACTCATACCTCCCACATTTGAAAATAACTGCAATCTCGAGGATTTAAAAAATATTAATTTTTCTTTATTTTTATTAACCAAAATTTTCCCCTCTTCTAGACCTTGTTATTAAAACTAATAGTTCAGTGCTGCAATGGAGAGCACACCAGGTCTGAAATCAAGAAAATTCATTGTCTTGAGTTCAAATCTGGTCTCAGACACTCCCAGTTGTGTGACCCTAGGCAAGTCATTTAATCCTGTTTGCCACAGTTCGTCATCTCTAAAATGAGCTAAAGAAGGAAATAGCAAACCACTCCAATTATCTTTGCTGAGAAAACTCCAACTGGAGTCATGAAGAGTCATGAAGAGTCGGACACCACTGAAAAAAACCTGAACGATAAAATAATAATTCTTAATATTCATAAAGATCACTCACATTAATATCAAGATTTTTCAGTGCTTTCTAAATCATCAAAGGTTATATTCAACATTGTTTTAGTGTTATGTATGATTACTGGCCTCTGAATAAATGGAGTAGCCCTCACATAGAAGGATAAGAAAAGTAGTTCTGAGGTATAATCTCAAAAATGACAGAATGATATCTGTTCTAATCCAAGGCAAACTATTCAACCTCACAGTTATACAAATCTATGCTCCAATCACTGATGCTGAAGAGGCCAAAGTTGATCAGTTCTTTGAAGACCTACAACATCTTTTAGAAGTAACACCAAAAAAAGATGTCACCTTCATCATGGGGAATTGGAATGCTTCAGTGGGAAATCAAAAGATAATTGTA